TAAATCGCATTTTAATAAATTCTAGCCGGGGGTGGTGGTGCACGCCTGTAGTCCCAGCTACTCAGGAAGTTGAGGCAGTAGAATTGCCTTAGGCCAAGAGATCAAGCTGTGGTGAGCTGTGATCGTGCCACTGCACTCCAGCCTGGGCGACAGAGTGAGACTCAGATTCAAAAAAATCTTTTTAATCTATTAATATGTAAAAGATTATACGTTTTTCAAACATGACGTAAGTTGTATAGCTACTATTTTTTGACAGGGTATGTTAGTAGATACAGAATTAGGGTTATAACAAACGTCTAAACTCCAGAATGCTACTTTACATTGCTGTGATGTTCCCTACAATCACAGACGCAGAAGGAAACATCACCTGGTCACATTTTTCTACCCTTCTCCCACACAGCTGCAAAAATCTTAGAAGTCTGCTCTTCAGTGCTGTACAATTCATTTCCAACAATAAACTGAAGACCAAGGGAAAAAGTAACAACAAAAAGGAATTTTTTAAATCCTAATTTTCGGGATTGGCAGTTGAGGGAAACTGCTAGGGGAGGGAGGGGCATACCTCATCAGTAAGGGACCTGCATAATCAACATTATACACCTAACCCTGAATTGTACCCCACATCTTTATAATAAAAAATAATAAGATAAAATAAAAATAAAACCCTAGTTTTCCTAACCAATATGCAATTGGAAAGTAGTTCACTGGGACTGACCATTCCAGGGAGAGAGGATCCCTCAGAGTGATTCTGTCAACTTCTGTAGAGTTTCCTAACTTAGCAGCTAGATAAATGAGCTCCTGCAAACAAGCAACAATTATTGCCTGGAACACTGTGAGTGGGCAGAAAATCATTCATATAAGTTAGCTCTGGCTATTCACGAGTGCTTATGATCACAGCAGCTAGCTACCATGCCTAACAAACTTCTGGTCATAGCAACTGCCAAATATACCTGTCAAAAAAGCATGTAAGACCTTTCCACCTTGACCTCTTCCCATGCTAACAGTTTTCAGTGCATCAAACAGCCTCACATAACTGCAAATAAAATATAAATATTAAAGTGGACGGTGATGAATATGTTCATTTGTTTGACTGTAGTAATCATTTCCTATGTATGCATGTGTCAAAACATCATGTTGCAGTCTTAAATATATATCATAAAAATATATTTTTGAAGTACCTATCTATATCCCCTCCCTGGAGATACGCAAAGTAGCAAAATATATATATATATTATTTATGTGGAAGAAAGTGTTACCCACCAGGTATGACTAAGTGAGCAGATATAATAGTCACAGACTTACAGTAGAAGGAATTTGGGTTGTACAAATAAAATTCCATTATTACACAAGTCCCATAGTGTTCAAGTATATCTGGGACTTTCAAAAGTTTTATTAGATCTGCGGGGGGGGGTAGTGGGCATTGAAAGTGAATGTAGGGTTTAAGTATTTTTGTACCCATAAACAACTGCAAAGATATCACAATGGAAGAGGGTCAAGGTGAACAGATCGAATTCCAACAACAGGCAGAGTAAGGGGAGCACATTCCCGGAGACGGCCGAAGAATATAAGCACAGTCAGAGGGGCAGGTGTGAAGCATGCGACGGACCCAGAGACACAGCAGCCCCTGTGAGAGCCACAGAAAGGTAGGTGGGGTGGTCACAAAGGAACTTGAATGTCCTCCCTTCAAGAGAAGTTGGGACTGTCTTGGAAAATCAAGAGAAGCCACTGCAGTCTTGTAACCAGGGAGTGACCAGCCTCACACTCCTGATGAAGAAGGTTCATTTGCACCTGTTCAGAATCACCTCGCCAAAATGACCTTCACGTTCTCTTCCTAAGCTCCAAGTCTGCAAGGTTTTACATCAGAACAACAACAGCCCAAGCACTACACACATCTTCCTCCAGAAAGCCTGCAGAAATAAGGTAAATGTTTATTGAAATCTCTTGAAAAGGCAGCAGTAGTGAAGAAGATGCCGCACACATCAATACTTGCTAATAGTCCCTCTTACGCTTCCATCTTCCACATTTCACACCAATTTATTTTCTGTCAAAAACTCCTCCGAACCTCTTCTCTCCTCCCATGATAGCCCATTTCTCCGCCTTCTGATCTCATCTTTCTTTCACTGGGTGGGTATCCTAACACCCCCTTTCTCTTGCCAGAGAGTTCCTGGTTTGCTCCGTTCTGCTGGTGTGACACTCAAAGACAATGGAAGGAGATCACAGGAATAAGAGGGCAGGGGTGCAGGTTCCGAAAACACGCACTTTCTGATTCTTATCACCATAAGACAGACTGGCAAGGGCATTGGACAGAGTGACCCAGAAGGTCACTGTAACACTCTCATGAGGATGGGGGAAGGACACCAAGACAGGAGGACCAGATCTGAGAGACGGTGAAAGCAGGATGTAGCTCAACTGAGTTGAGTGCTTCAAGAACAGCCAGCCACCATCCGAGAGACCTCAGATGTGTGTGGCATAGCTAAATGAACGGACAGATCCATGCGTGCACATGGGCTGTGGGAGAAAGAAAAGTCAGGGATGGTGAGTCAGAGTGTTCCCATGGCCCTAACACACCTCTCCCCTTGCCCTAAGCTCCACAATCCTCAGGGCACCCGCACTGGCCTTTCTTGCTTCTGCCTGGAAATGAGCCTCCCACCTCCAGCCTCACAGCTGTGTTCAGGGAAACCGCCTACCTGACTGAAAAGGGAGAATGCGCCATTGCAGGTTCAGCAAAGACGTCAGAGCCCAGAACATGTACATTAGGCCTGGGTGATGGAGTTTCTTAGGACACTGCAGGGTTATGGGAGCAGGATTCCAAGCACACCTGGGGGTGGGGGAGAGCCCCAGGCCTCCAGGACCTGGGAGAGAGTTCCTCCTGCATGAACAGGAGAAGTTCCTCCTGCCAGTCCCTGAGTGTGTCCCATGAGAACATCTAGCTAGGACCTTGTCCTTCATATTCTTATGTTCTCATGTCCTAGTTTGTCCCTGATCCATGCCCAAGTGTTTCACTCAGACACAGATACAGATGTCACGGGCCATTCTTTGTCTCCCCACGTGTATAAAGCACAGCAAACAAATGATGAAACCACCGCAAACAGTTACAGAACGCAGGGGACTTTGTGGGTGACCCGCAGGTCACTTTCTACCGAGCTATCTTGCTTTTCAAAACTTTAGATGGTTGTCGTTCTTATTGTAACTATTAACAAAATGTTCCATTTTATCCCTGGTAACTCACTTCGGGGAGCCTTCACTGTCTCCGAATCCAGTGGGAAAGATCTGCTCAACCCAGGGGAAACAGAAGGGCTGAATGAACGTGTTCCCACAAATGTTTTGCAGTCTGCGACTTTCTCCCGTTCCTTTCGCCTTCCAGAGTGACGGTTTCGTGACCGGAGACGGATACTCGAGCTAATGGTAACTTTAAGTCCACATGTACGATCCGTGTGGCAACATCATTGCACCCCCACGCTGTGGTCACGCTCCCTGCCAGACCCCAAGGGGGGGGGAGAAAGGGGAGGGGAGGAAAGGGGGAGGGGGGCGCAGTGGCTCCGCCCAGGTCCTCCACCCACCAGCTGGGCAACCCACCGCAGGACCCCGGGCTCAGGCCATGCCGGTGTGTACTAGCTGCCGCCCTCCACACCCACACGTGCTGCGGAACCGCAGACCTCTGCAGCCTGCTTCTCTGGGCACGGGCAGGAACCAGAGTTTGTGAAGTTAGTGAGCATCTATTTGCGTGATAGCTATCGTGAAAGACAAATGATCATCAGAAAATCCTCTCTGCTTTTTGAGCAGTGGAGTGGGAGGCAGACAGGGGCTGGGAGCTGTGACCCCGCAGCCAGGCGGAGGCTGTTGGCATCCGGAGGGACCCCCGGGGCTTGCTCTCTGGCCAAGCCAGGCGCGCGAAGCCACGAAGTGCCCCTGAAGAAGGGCTCTTTCTCTCCCAGCCTCGGCCAGCAGCTCCGCTTTGCTCTGTGTCTGCAGAGTCTCTCTTCTTTCCTCGCCATCTTCCTTCCCGCCCTGGGGTCCCGCAGCCCCCTCCAGTCCATCCTCAGCGGCCCCGCCGCACCCGGACCCCTTTCCCTGGGCTGGCCAGTGTCCTCCGCCTTCGCACGACTTCTCTCCCTTTGGGTGTCCCGCGACCCTCTGCGGAGGCTGTTTTACCTCCCTCCTCATCCCTCCCACTTGCCTTGGGCATCGAAGTGGCCGGACCCTGAGCACCCGAGGCGGGTCTGAGAGCAGCCGGCCGCGCCTGGGGCCCTTCGAAACCGACCTGGTGGACAGGTCCGAGCTAACACGAGCCACCGCAGCCTGCCGAAATCCGCCTCCCCGCCGACCGTTCCCTGCAGCCCCCTTGAAGGGGAAAGCAAAGGGGCATCCCGAGCACGTGCGGGTGTCTGCGGGCAGTAATCTCAGTTAATCCTCCAAACCCCGGAAGGCCCAGGAACCGGGCGCTGACAGGTGCACGACCTGCGCGCGACCCCGGTGAGCAGTGGAACCCAAGTCTTTGGGCTGCGCTGCCAGTGTGTCTCCAAAAAGGCTTCTCACGCCCGGGAAGGGGCACCAAAAGCTGGTTCCTTTGCTAGATGGGGTTTGGTCTTTAAATCTCAACTATGTTGTCCCCAATAAACTCATCACCGCTTTCTCTGAGAACCCGGTTATCTGCGGAGACGCTCTCTGCTCTGCAGTGATCACCCAGGCTTCTCGGAGGGAGTGCCTTGTCCGGCTGGTAGAGGAATCAACCGAGGCGAGGGCATCTTTTTTTT